ATTTCGTCGCTTTGTTTAAAATTGGCTTTTCCTTCAATATTTAAGAAGAATTTCGTTTTTAAAAGGTCATTTATGCTGGCCTCCCAGCTGTTGGTCTGGGGTTCAAGAGCTCCCCCCTTGTTCAGATCAGCATGGGACTGATCCAGAACCCCTGAGTGTGAGAGTCAGTGAGGAGGCCTGGGCAACCTATGGGGCCCTGGGCAGTAGATCAGCATTTATCCCTGGCATACAAATGGACTTTGTGTGTCCATAACACAAAGAGGGATGCTCTCTCAGCCTGGACTGTTAGGGGAGTGCCTGGACTCTGCCCTGAGTGAAATGACAGACTCTAGATATCCCCTATGTGGAAGGAAGTGGGGACAGGGTAGGAGGCTGGGGGGGATGGTGGAGGGGTGCGGGAGGAGGGGAGGGAGAGGGAACTGGGATTGACATGTGAAACAAGCTATTTAAAATTAAAATAATTTAAAAAAAGTTCAGGGACAAAAAAATAAAATAAAGTCAAAAAAAGAAGAAAAAAAAAGATCATTTATGATTAACTTTTAAAAGGAAAATTTTAAAAGTTGTAACCCAGCATTTGATTGTTAGTTTTTCTAGCTTCAGTACTCCAAACTCTGCAGTGCCATATTTGACCAGCACATAAAGTCAAATATATGGGCACATTGTCAATCATAGCACTATTTTGTCTTGCTGTTAAGGGGGAAGGTACTCTAGGGAATGTTTGCCTTGCTAACAAGCATGTATTATGATTGAATACTGAACAGGAATTAAAAATCCAAAAGAAGCCAGGCGTTGGTGGCGCACGCCTTTAATCCCAGCACTCGGGAGGCAAAGGCAGGCGGATCTCTGTGAGTTCGAGGCCAGCCTGGTCTACAGAGTGAGTTCCAGGACAGCCTCCAAAACAATACAGAGAAACCCTGCCTCGAAAACCCAAAAGAAAAAAGAAAAAAGTCCAAAAGAATATTTAATTATACATATATATACATGAATATATGTATAATGTATATATACATTAATTATGTATATAATACATAGAGATAAAGTATGACCATTATTTATGTTTCATTTCATCTTAGAAAATCTTCAAAAGAGAATTATTTACATAATGATACTTAAGTGAATGTTGATAAAACTAGTTGCCTTAATTGCTTAATTGCGTAGCTTTGGAGCCTATCCTGCACTTGCTCTGTAGACCAGGCTGGCCTCAAACTCACAGAGATCCTCCTGCCTCTGCCTTCTGAGTGCTGGGATTAAAGGCGAGTGCCACCACTGCCTGGCACTTAATGTAACTCTTGTGTCATGGAATTGCTCTTTATATTTAGTGTAAGTGTCACTATGAAATCATGTTTGTAAAATTCTTTGAATGTGCTTGTGAGTAAGAGGTGAAATTCTGTGGTTAGGTGAGGTCTGTGTTCAATTAGCCTCAGAGGAAACAAATCTTCAGACGTCTCTCTGTTGTCTTACAAAATATAGGCAGTATTCTAGGGTCTGAAGGAGGGCACATTAATGTTTGGCTACAAATGATAAGACCATATGGCCAACCTGACATCAGATCTGTGCAAGAAGATGGCAGGCCCTTAGAGCCAGCCTGCCCGTAGCTCATTGGCCGTGAAGGAGAGGCTGAGTGCTGACTCACCCTGCCCACAATTCATGATCCCAAAGGCAGTCAGCAACGATTCTTATGAATGGGAAAAGTTCTGGCTCCTAATATTTCACAAAGTTTTCTTTCAAGTCAGGAAACTACCTTTGTAATAAAGTCATCCTCTGTCCCTGTTGTTTTCCCCACGCAGCGTGATGACTGTACCAGAAGAATTGCTGGATAGGCAGGGGAAACAAACATTTACCGACCATCAACTGTACACCAGTCACTGTACAGTGTTTACATATGTGTGATTATATGGAAACTCGCATTAATAACATTCACCAAGTGACAGGTCAAAAATAAACAGCATACGTAATAACTTCTTTTAATAGTACATAAGCCAATTTTCCTGGAAAGATTTACTTAGAAGACCTGTTGCCTCCTAAGTATGTGTAAATACATGTGTGTATAAATGTACATATATGTATATGTGGATATAGATGTATATTCATGTATAGAGGGAAAATTTAAAGAAAGGTGTGTCTATTAAATAACATATTTATGAGGCATGAATGAATTATAGGGAGCATTTAATTGTAAGAACTCGTCTCCTTTCCTTCTAGTTTTTTATCAATATAAGAGAAATTATACATTTAAGGAAAAAACTCACTTCAGGAGTGAAAATTGTTTAGCCCATCAGTACAACATGGTATAAATCTTTCAAGTTATAAATACAGCAGATGTTCTGAGAAGGAAAACATTATCTCACACTCTTGATCTCATACCTGTGAAGTGCAAGTATATGTGCAGTACACATGTGTAAAGATCAGTTGGAAATTGGAGAGCAATTGAGTTTTGTGTAGCTGTGTAGAAACTGTAAGAAAATGAGACTCCTTTAAAAACAAGTGATGTTATGCCTATAATACCAGTGCTGTCGAGGATGAGGCAGAAGAATCTGTAAGTCATTGTAGCCCTGTCTGGGCTATAGTGTATGATGATCCTGTCTCAAAAGGCCTAAAGTCCAAACAAAATGAGTCACTTGTGGGTAGAGAAGGCCCTAGAACAGATTGCAGGAACTGAAATGTACCTGAGGCTAGACCAGACCTGCTGGCATCCTTCCTTATAGTTGACCTTGGCACTCTTTACATGGTATGTTTCTACACTTAGTGCCCACTGGAGTGATTAGTGAGGTGTCCCTAAGGCCCAGTCAGTAACTCAGCTCTCTTCTTGGCCTTTCAAGAGGGAATCTTTAGGTTGTGCCAGCTATATGGCTCCGTTTTCAACTTTGATCATCCAGTACAAAACCCAGTGTGGGTGCTAGAAAGTGCCACTGAGGTAAGATGAAAGCAAGTTGGGCCCCCTGTTAGCCCATAGTTATTGGGATGTACCTGTTTATGTCTGTGCCACAGCTGGCATAAACCTAGACTTAAATTTTCATTCAAGAGAAGGCTCTTAGAAAAACACTGTGGCTGGAGGTACAGATAGATCATAGCTTCTGTGGGAACAGGCTTCAGAAAAGAGTGGGCAAGGCAGCAGGTGCGTACCTCAGAAAGTGTGTGCCCATTGCGAGGCAGCCCATGGTACAGCGTCAGTCAGTCAAGCCCTGGGAGAAGACTGGCTTCTAGAGCCGGAGATTCGGACTTCCCTACACAAATTTTGTGTGAATCTTCCCAGGTTTTAGCAACAAATTTGTGCTTTTTCCCTCCTCGAGGTCACCATGGGAGATTTTTAAAAAAAATCATCACCATCAACAAAAACCTGTGGGCTGTGTGTTTGTAGGATCAAAGGGTAGAGAGAACGTACAAATGTGGAATTTAGGGTTGCAACTAGTATGCCACAGAGTACCGTGCCGTCCCTAGGGGCAGACCCTCTGTGGAGGACGAGCACACCATCTGCACTTGTGTTTGGATGTGTAGTCAGTCTGAGGAAACCTTGGTGTTCTGTCTTTACTATGTAGAAGGAAGATTGGAGGCAACTTTCACGACTTCACTCTTTCAGGCTCTCACTAACAGAAATGATCTGGGATGGGGGGAGGGGAGGAGGGGAGGAAGAGGGAACTGGGATTGACATGCAAAACCAGCTTGTTTCTAATTTAAATTAAAAAAAAAAGGATCAGGTCCAAATCATGGTTGAGCGTCCTGAAGGACTCACCTGGGCAGCCTGTCTCTTGACTCTTGATGCCTCCTTCCATGCTTTTCCTGTCTCCCGTTAACATTTGGAGCTTTGCAAAGAATATTAAGAAGCTTTAAGAAGCAGGAAGAAAGCTTGTTCTGTTAATATTTCAAACCAGCACTGTCTTGGTATAGCTTGCTATTTCTTCCTTTACAAGCTGTGTAATTTTGACAGACTGTATCATATAACAAGAAGTGATCCAGACGGTGTGGGTAAAGTTGCAACAGGACTCTCAGCATCTTGAAGAGGACACACCCATGTTAGTCCTACAAAATAAGCTGTTTTCCCTGTGAAAGTCAATTCAACACTGCCTGTGTAGCCGCATGGGCTCTTCTCTCTGTTTAAAGTGAATGAAGGCATATTTCTGAAGCCTTGGGCATTCTTCAGTATGTTTGTTTTGTAACATCCAAGTGGTAGCTGTTTTTTCATTAGTATAAAATCTGTTAACTTCCTTGAGCAAGATTTTGTTGTAGTTAACAAAACCAAAGGTGCTTGTAAGGAGGAAGCCCTGTATGGTGGAGGTGGGAGTGTTGGGAGCTGTGGAATGGAAGGACTTGGGGACCATGCTGTGGACAGGAAAGCCAAAGCCTCCCCTTGCTGTCCGAGGCAGAGACTGTGTCCCTGTCTGTTGGGCCAGTGGCCTCTTGGACAAGATTCATTCTGACCAGCGTATTTGTTCTTTTGTCCTCTCCTCACTGACTGGCCCCTTTCCTGTACACTAGTGAGCACATGGGCTATCCCAGTCTATGCTAAGCTCGACCCATTTCTCTCAGTTCCTGATTCTAAGGGGAGTATGTTGTATTTCTGAGTTGAGGCCTTGTGTCTACTTTGGCCTGCAACAAGGAATTTGGAGCCCCACAGTACAACTATGATGGCACTGGAGATGAGGCAGCACTTAATAAATTGAAGCCTGTGTTTCTGAGGATTTTGGGGGGAAAATTATGTCCTTTTTTAGTAGTTTCTTCTCGCCTGCTTCTAACAAGCCTTCATTTAAAATAATCCTTTCCCAGCACTGCGGAGGCAGAGGCAGGCAGATCTCTGTGAGTTCGAGGCCTGGCTGTACTGGCAGCCTCCAAAACAATACAGAGAAACCCTGTCTCATAAAACCAAAATAATAATAATAATAACAATAATAATAATCCTTAAAAATTAGGCGCTTACTACATAAGTATGTATTGAGTAAATAAAGGTTTGAAGTTTGGGTCCTAAGAACATCTTTGTAGCCCGTTGCTTACCATTTCTTTTTGCAGAACAAAATTAAGTTGATGCTGAGGTAGTTTTGTGTGCTGGAAAGGAAATGAACCAACACCCAAGGCCTGGATTCTAGTCCCAACTCTAAACCGTTGCTCCGCTGAACAATCCCAAGCAAATGATGGCATGTCTCCGTCTGCCTCTCCCTAGTAAGTGAGATCACATTGCCAGCACTTTGAACTTTGTGAACCAGATGAGAGAGTTTATGCAAGCATATATTTTTTCCTGCTGAAATCCCTGACCCTTTTTCTAAGCAGGGAAGTTACTATTTTAAAATGATATTAGTCAACACTACTACCTTTTTCTGTAAAGATAGGTTTCCTGTAGAACATTTAAAAAGATATTGACTAATAAATGGTGAATTCTTTTTCACATCTAAGAGCCGGTGACTGACTTCCTTGGATGCTTTGGAAATAGCTGGAGTATCATGCTGGAGAATTCAGAAATAGCTTTGCCTAGTGACTTAAAGTCCAGTGAGAGCTGATGTACCAACTCTAGTTTGTTCTGAAGGAGAGAGGAGAGAAGGTCTGCTTCCAACTTAACACCTGTATTGACTGTGTCTATTATGATTCTTTGTAGATAACTGTGAGTAAGGAATTTTGCATACCTATAAAATGCTTACAATGTAAAGGAAACAGTTTTGGCTCAAGACAGACATTGAAGGAGGTATAAGCTTTTACTAGAAGTAAAACAGCAGCAACAATATCAGAAAAATTAAAGGACTGGCAAAGGATCAGAACTCTGGAGAAGAAAACATCTGGCCTATAAAGACAGGGAGGTGCTTCAACATTCCTGAGTAGGATTTCGTGAGTGAGACTAAAGCTAACGGGAAGGCAGAAGAATATAACCCAAGAATAATTTAAAAGCTATAAATATAATTAGGAGTAGTGAGCAAAGTATGACATAGAACTTTAGTGATTGGCTTTCTGGGATGGTGTATTCTCAGCATCTCAGGGCATGTAGATACATGGGTTACATTTTGATGTGTGAAAATAAAAGCTGAACAAACAGCGTTCTCACCACTGCCCTTATTATGTAGCCCGTGGAGGCTGTAGGGAGAGAAGTGCATGCGTAGTGGATTTTCCCTATCAAGTCGACCTGCCTGTGGTTTTTGTTTGAGGGAGGGTCTCTGCTCTGCTCTGGCTGGCCTGAAACTATGCAGACCAGGCAGGCCTCCAGCTCACAGAAAGTTCAGCCTCTGCCTCCCAAGTGCTGGGATTAAAGGTGTGCCACTGTGCCTGGACTGCCTGTGTTTTAATACTCTGACAGAATGTGTCTACAACTGTGTCATTGCCTGGGTTTGCTACTCTCTCCTGTCTTCTGCTCTCTCAGGTTGAGTACCATCTCCGTTTCTAACTTTAGTGTCTTAATCTTCAGCCCTTCAATTCCTTACCTCATGCTTCTCTTCAAATTAAATTGTATCCCCCTCCATACCTATACAGGAAGATAATGGAGGGCATAATGTCCTTGTGATTTTTTTCTTCCACCAAGACAGGGTTTCTCTGTGTAGCCTTGACTATCCTAGAACTCTCTCTCTAAACTAGGCTAGCCTGGAACTCAAGAGTTCTGCCTCTCTCTCCATGGTACTGAGATTAAAGGTATGCACCGCCATCGTCCGTCCACCACTTGTGATTTTTAGGAAAGTGAATTGAGTTTTTCTTTCCTGTCTAAAAGTTACATTGCTTTTATATGCTGTGGAATTGTAAAGGGTAGAGTGAACATTCAAGATATTTGGTGTGCATGCTTGTTATTTTATTATTTATTTATTTATTTTGGTTTTACGAGACAGGGTTTCCTCTGTATTGTTTTGGAGGCTGTCGGTCCAGCCCGGCCTTGAACTCACAGAGATCCACCTGCCTCTGCCTCCCGAGTGCTGGGATTAAAGGCGTGTGCCACCACCACCCAGCCATGCTTGTTATTTTAAAGCTGTGATTTAACAGGTTTTGTAAAAACAGACTTTCAAATAGCAATTTTAAAGATTAAGTGGAAGAGGTAGACGGATCTCTGTGAGTTCAAGGCCAGCCTGGTCTCCAAAGAAGAGTTCCAGGACTGCCTCCAAAGCCACAGAAAAACCCTGTCTCAAAAAACAAGCAAGCAAAAAGACAAAAAAACAAACAAAAAAATTAAGTGGAAAATCATTAGTGGAAATTTCACACAATGATTTTTAAGCTCAAAGAGGCTGTCTCCGTAGACATATTGAATAGTCATTTGTTCCTAGTTTATTGTAAATATAGTGAATTAAGTTAATTATTAAAAGAAACTGTATTTGATGGTTAATTGGTAGGTGCCTTGAATTTTAGCAGTTTGACACTTCAGACTACATGTAGTAGTTTAAAACATGTGGCAACTAATAAGATTATAGATTTTAGATTATAGATGAAAGGTGTTGACGAAAACCTTTAATCCCAGCCCTCAGGAGGCAGAGGCAGGCATAGCTCTGTGAGTTGAGGCCAACCTGGTCTACTGAGTGAGTTCTGGCACAGCCAGGGCTACACACAGAGGAATCCTGTCTTTAAAAAAAAAAAAAAAGAACAAATAAAAAAAATTGTCGATTTCTACTAAGCTTTGTGTCCACTGTTTGATTCCTTTGCTTTGTGTTTGAGCAGAATTAAGACGGAAGTACCTCCAGAATCCCAGCAGATGAAGATTCACTGGTAAATCGATCAGGATTTTTGGCCTACGCTCCAAAGAAAAGGTAATTATTTTGACATATCATAGGTGAATGAATATATTTTTTCCAGTTCTAATAGGATTTGAGTGTCTCAGATGGATGCTAATTTTTATGACTTAAGTGTCTGTGCAGGATCTTCCATGTTAAGCATAACTTTAAAGACGTGAACTTCTTAGTATTTGGTGACAGTGACTATAAGGAAGGAGTACAGTGCTGTTGGCATTTGCCTCTTAGCACAAAAACTGTTGAACAAAAACTATTAAAACTTCAGGAATTTGCTTGGGTTTTTGTCTTGAACAAGGTCTCTCGGTGTTTCCCTGGCTGTCCTGGAACTCACTATTTAGACCGGGTCATTCTAGAACCCACAGAGATCTGGCTGTCTCTGCCTCCTGCTGGAACTGTAGGCATGCACCACCACAATACACTGCTTTTTTCAGGAATTCTTTCTTTCTTTTCTTGGGGGGGTTGGGACAGGGGTTCTCTGTGTAGTCCTGACTGTCTTGCCCTATAGACCAGGCTTGCCTTGAACCTGGAAATCCTCCTGCCTTTGCCTCCCAAGTGCTGGGATTGAAGGCTTGAGCCACCAGTGGCCAACCTGTTTTCAGAATTCTTTAGAGACAGCATTCCCAGCTCTCTCCTAAACTAAGCCCACTCTTTCCATAGGGTTTTGTCCAACAAGCTCCTGTGGGTTTTCCCCCAATATCCAGATTCTCCAGCACTCTCTCTCACTCTCCGTCTGTCCATCCGTCCGTCTGTCTGTCCGTCTGTCTCTTTGTCTGTGTGTGTGTATCTCTGTCTCTATCTCAGTCTATCTCTGTCTGTCTGTCTGTCTCTCTATATTTGTGTGTATCTCTGTCTTTGTCTGTCTGTGTCTGTCTGTCTGTCTGTCTGTCTGTCTCTGTCTCTCTCTCCGCACAGTGTAGACCAGCACAAAACTGATAAAGATAGAGTTAGCCCACACTTTCCAGGCTGCCAGGGAACTCTGGAACTCTTAAGTGGTCCTGTAGGCTTGTAGTCATAGCACTCACAGAATAGCTTCGTACTAAATTCTGTGAATGTATTTGATGAAAAGATGTCCAAGTTTCACAAAATTTGAAAAAAAGGTAAGAATTCCTGGAAGAGCTTACATTTTTTTACTACATTTATTTATGGTGTGTATCTTTGTGTGACTGTCTGTGTGTCTGTCTACCGTGCGTGTGTTTGTATGTATACATGGATACACTTGGAGGTCAGAGGACAGCTTGAAGGATTTTTCTTCCATCTTGTGGGTCTAGAGTTCTAAAGTCAGGGTATAAGGCTTTGTGACAAAAGACTTCACTTGATGATCTATCTCCCTGGAACCCCTGGAAGAGTTTAGATTAGTAATAAAATAACCACCCTTCCATCTACCCTTGAGGGAAATTGATGGGGTTGGGGGCGGGACTGTTACATGATAAAAGTCAATTTAAGATGAGTCACTGAAGAACAAAACTAAACAGAATTTAAGCAGGAAGAACTAAAGAAATCTCAGTCTTAAACATAGATCAGCATATACTTAGGCAACAAATGCATGTGTTAATCAGGTCCTAAGCAACTGAAGCAAAAATGGGAAACATTTTGTACAACATGCACATTTATCTGCAAAGATAACACTTTCACTATTACCATACCAATGTGAGCTTCAGGAATGCCGCAGTTCTGCATTTGAAAAAAACCAAGGATCTGGTCAGCTGTGAAACTCATGCTTTATAAAATATACCCTTTAATGTGCTATCTCTGTGTTGAGGGAGCAGACAGACAGTGGTATCCATCAGTGAGCATCATCATAGTCACTACAATATATGGTATTTATTGTGAAATATTGGGCAGATGTCAAAAGAAAAAAAAGAGGGGGCTTTTCTTATGTCACGACTGGCCACTGGAAAATAATTGAGAGAACTGCCAGAGAAGCCCCTGGTGCAGAGACGTTTACTGGGCCCTCCTGTGCGCAGAGAGACTACCCTTTGAGAAAGAAGAGGAGGGTAGGAGCTATTCCATGGACATATGGCTTATACTCTTGAATATTGTGCTGATAGAAGCATTCTATGATGCTGTAGGAAAGATTCATACAATACCAGCAAGTAAACAACAAAGAAGAAGTGTCACACGCTCAGGAGTGTACTGGGCAAACAGAAAACAGTCAGCGGGCCCGATGGAACTGTGAGGCCTGTTAAGTCCAAGGCCAGTCTGAAGTCGCGGCTTCTTCATGTGCAGGAGTCCTAGCCCAGTCTCTTTCTCTCTTTCAGGCAGTATTTGCAGAGGGGCAGTTGACGTGTTGTACTCTCTTTTTAAGCACAATGATGACTTGAAAATCCAAAAGAATACAAAGTCCTCTTATTGAATTTTCAGGGTTTTTTCCTTTTCTTTTTCTTTTTTCTTTTTTTTTTTTTTTTTTTTTTTTTGAGACAAGATTCTCTGTATTGTTTTGGAGGCTGTCTTGGAACTAGCTCTTGTAGACCAGGCTGGCCTCAAACTCACAGAGATCCACCTGCCTCTGCCTCCCGAGTGATGGGATTAAAGGCGTTCGCCACCAATGCCTGGTTTGAATTTACAGTTTTAACCAATAAATAAAAGTTACATGTATTTGTTATATACTATATATTACTTTGAAATACATGCATTGAAATGACTAAATTGAGTTAATGTCGCCACACGTAGTTATCTTCTTTTCTGTTTGTCACACATACACACACACACACACACACACACACACACCCATCTCTTTCTCTGTTTTTGCTTTTAAGTAAAGGCCTCATTGTGTAACTCCTGCTGGCCTGTGTAGACCAGGCTGCCCTTGCGTGCTGAGATTAAAGTTTGTGTCACCATGTCCAACCCTGTTTAGCAGTTTTCAGGTATCCTTACATTATAGAATCATTTTCATTTAGTCAACATTTTGTATTCTTTAATTGACATTACTCCTAACTTTTGAGTGTTTGGAAATCACCATCATTTGTTGAGGTCAACATTCTTTAGGTTCCAGAAATACATGTGATATTTTCTGTGACTCACTCCCTTCTGTCCTCATGTTAATTCAGTACACATGTGGTGGTGAACGTTCTCATTTTGACAGGACCTAGATTCAATGAGTAGATGAACCTGTGGGCATGGCTGTATCTGGGTTAAATGAGTGTGAAGACCATCCAGAGTGTAGGCAGCAGCATCCCAAGGGTGGGGTCCAGGGCTGCAGAGATGGCATCTGTGACCAGGTGCTCAGATTCTGCCACCATTTCGTCCCTGTTGCAGTGGTCTGTATCCCTGAAACTGTAAGGTAGAAGCCGAAACAAAACAAAAGCCCCTCCTTTCCTCATTCCATAGAATGATGCAAGTAGAGATCCCTGGGCCATTTTGGTGGGAACTGGAAGAGCAGAATATGGGGAGAAATGCAGACAAAAATGCATGGTTCCTGGGGTTTCAGAAAGGAGCAGGGATCCTGGGTGGAACTGGGTTAGAGACCGTGCAAAGAATCTGACTTCATTCTGCTTGTGTTCTGAGAACTTGTAAAGCTGACTTGAAAAGTAATGGAGTAATTTCAAGAGGGAATTTCAGGATAGGCTACCATTCAGGCTGTGCTCAGTACTCACTCCAGATTTACAGTGAGGAAGAGCAACGGGTGGAATGGATTGATGACAACTCTGTGTGTACTTTACCGTTTATTATTTATAGTTAATGGACCAGGCAGTTTGAGAATAGTTGTAGTCATTAAAGAGGTTAGTAGCGTTAACGACTCTGATACACTGGAAGTAAGAAAGGTGGCTTTATAGGCTGGAGAGATGGCTCAGTGGTTAAGGAAAGGTACCTCGAGGGCAGGATCCACCTTGTGAGAATGCAAGCTCATTTGAAGGAGACAGCCCCATTGAGAATGCTGTGGAAAGGGTTCTCAGTTGAAAACACCCCTCAGGGGAAGTGTCTTCCCAGGGTTAGTACATGAAGGCTGATGCAACTCTGGTTCAGTGTGGCCAGGCTCCATCCTAAACTGGCAGAAGAACTAGACAGTGTCACCCATGTGGTGCTGGTTTTGTAAGTGTGGAAGACACAAGATTTGAGGGAGTCATGGAGTCCTCTGCCACAGTTTCTGAGACATACGGAGAGCAGCGAGTGTGTGGCCCAGTGGAATCCCCTGCAAGAAGACCTCGAGCGTCTACTGCATGAAACTTTGAAGATGAAGACCTACAGACATGAAATGGAGCTAGTCTAAGACAGGGAGTCCTTGTTACAGAGCAGCAAAGCTGCAGGGGAGGGAGGGGCTACCCATCTGGTTCCATCACCCCAGAAGCTGGACATGGAGTGCAAGGTTTGGTGTTTTCCCTGCTAGGTTTTAATCTTGCCAAGGAATGTGGTAATTTTGTTTTAAATGTTTTTGAGAACCCTCTTATCTAGTTTCTACAATGGCTATACTATACTTTACCCTTCAGTGGAAGGGAAATGATAAAACACAGCAAACATAAGTAAATTCAGTATTTCTTGTATTGAATGATGACTGTAAGAATGATAAGGATTAGGATGGTGGGTGTTGTAAGAGGTGGGACCTATTTTTTCAGTGGCAGTGAGCAGGGTAGGTGACACTTGGCCGGCCGTTGATGCTAAAAGAGTAAGTTCTCTGGCAGGGATACTGCAGTTAATGGACAGAACAAAGGCAGAGGTATGCATAGACTGTAAGGAGACAGAAGAGGCGACTGTGGGTGAACACCAGGGAGCGAGTGGCAGTGCATAAAGGCAGGCAGCTGACAAGAGTCTGCCCTTAGAGACCAGAGATGGGCTTTAGTTTTTATTCCAAGAGAAGTCAGGACCAGTGTCAGTTGTCTGTTAGCAGAGTCATTGAGGCCACTGTGGTATAGTTAGATAGGTTTCAAACAGCAAGGTGAAAACAGGGAACCTGATTATCCAGAGGCTATCCAAGTTGCTAGACCTCCAAAAGTGATACGGGGTGAAATCTAGACCACAAGGCCTTCCTCAGTGATCCCTAAGACATTAAAGGCTTTTCTAAGAAGACACGATTATTGGAATCA